ATGCTACTGACTAAAGCCAGACTCTGTCTTCCTAGCAGTAAATTAGATGGCCTGGCTGTCCATGGCCCTTATTGTGGAGGTGCTGGAAATCCCATGTGATTTAATCAGTAGGAATTTCTATGTGAAGAATTAATTTTGCTTTCCTGTAGTGACTGGAAATCAACTGTCATCACAACAAAGAGAATTAATTATTTTAAAATGGGAAAGTCATTTACTTCTTGGCAAATTTTTGGCTTTATTTAGCAGCCCAAGAATTCATGGAATATGTCATTTGAGTTACTAAGAAAACTAACCCAAACTTGTAATTCTCTATGGTCTATGACAGCTGCAAAGCAGGACGGAGAAGTGTGATCTGGTTGACTCTGACAACAGGGATCTTGTACAGAAGGCTGCGTTATGCTAGTGACTGTTCCCTGCAAAGACTTGTTCTTTTTTCACAGCAAATTAATCTGAGCAGAAGCATAGCCCTCTAGATAGCAGAAGTGTACATCCACACCTCAAGGTTTTGTAACATAATGTTGTCAGCAGGGTGGTGGGTGGCATGTGCAGTACTTTGAGGGCTTTGTTGTAGACAAGGGCAGAAGGGAGCAGTTCAGTGTGCACTTGTAAGTTGATGGGCCCATTGCTTCCATTTCTCGGAGAGATCCCAAAGAGACAAATAGTAGGGATAGGATTCTACTTGAGGTGATTAAAAGGAATTCTTTTTGCAAGACCTTTAGCCTTGTGTTCCCACTTCTTTCCCTTCTGGGAGTTGCTTCATTAAGAGAAGCACAACAATAGTCTGCCTTATTCAGTTGCTTATCCCCATTAAATACTGCTGAAAGCTCCCACTTACTGAGCTTTTCCCTGTGTGCTACACAGTGTGTTAAGCTGCATTGCTTAATGACAGGGATACATCCTGAAATATGTGTTGTTAGGCAGTTTTATCATAGTGCAGACATCATAGAGTATACTTACACAAATCTAGATAGTGCAGACTATTCCATGATATTCAATTATAGTCTCATGGAACCACTGCCATACATGCAGTCCACCATTGACCAAAATGTTATTATATGGTACATGACTGTATATCTTGTGCTCAAAATACATTTCCTCATTTAATCCTCATGACAGCTCTATGAGGCAGATTAATATCCCTTCACATTGCAGAAAAGAGAAGTGGGACTTGGAGATGTTAAGCAACATACCCAGTAGTAGAACCAGGGTATGTTGCTCAAAACCATGACTCAAAACCATGCTTGTCAGATCCAGAGCCTGTGCCCTCACCATCACATGAGAGTCCTCATCTTGGTTAAGGGCAATACCAGCTACACAGTTGCTCAGGCTAAAAAATGAGTGATTCTTGACTCCTTTCTTGAGTTCACCTCACTTCCACTCTTTTGGTTCTATCCCCTAAATATGTCCCAAATCTGGGTACTTTTCTTACCAACTTAGTTCAGTTTCCCATCAGCTCTTGCCCAAAACACTGTAGCAGCCTCTTAAATTGGTCTTTTGCTTTCATTATAGTCCATTCTCCCACAGCAGTGGTTGACATTTTAAAAATCCAAATTAGATCATACCACTTCCCTGTTTAAAGTACCCCATGGCTACCCAATTACAGTGAGAGGAAAATCTGCCCTTGCCACGGCCCACAACAGCCTCTGTGATTGGGCTCCTGCTACCTCTTTACCTCATGTCTCTGTCCTCTTTTCTGTCCCTCAGACTCACCAAGCTCTTTCCAGCCTTTGACCTGGTCACCCTGCTGAGAGTACCCTTACCCAGATTCTTTCTGACTAGCTCCTTCTTGTTTTCAACTATCACCTCCTCAGAGAGGCCTTTTCTGATGACCCAGTATTAGAAGCACTTCCCCACCCTCATGCCAGCCCACCCTGTTCCTAAATTCTTTTCATCACAGCGCCTCCCTCCCTGTCTGTCTCACTCAGTGCATAGAAGGCGTCTTGCAACAGAGTAGATGCTGAGTACATAATTGTTGAATGAATGACAAGTTTATAGTATTTCCTGTGCCCAGATATTCTTGCTTAAACACTATTTCCTTAGGGAAGTTTTCTGTGACCCTCTGTTGCACGCTTTTGTAACAACTGCTCCTTTTCCTTCTTGGCCCTTATCCATGTTTGTGTAATTATTTGATTAAAGCCTGTTTCCCCCAGCAGACTCTAATCTCCTTGAGGGCAGAGAATAATCTGTCTGGCTCACTGTTTGACTCTTAGTGCCCAACACATTCGTTTGTTGAGTGATGAATGAATCAATGAACTGCCCTTGCTGTCCTAACGTGGTCCACACTTGGAATGTGTGTGCCACAGATGAATGAACCTGTAACTCCTTCGTGCTCATGACTCCCCTTGGTCATTTCATCAGTGTGTCAGGAGGGACTGACTATGGGTACAGGAAAGAAACCTCGGGACTTCTAGCCCAGTACACTAAACAAAAAGCCCCTCTTTTACTGCCTCAGATATCGCTCTGCTTATTCAGTGCTGCCTTTTATGTTTTACTTCTTGCCGCTTTATTTATTCACTTGACACTCTACACCAGGGAGAGTAGAGCCCAACAACACCCTCAATCCACTTCACTGGCATTTACTTTTTGCCATGGTTTCCAATAACACATTATAATTATGAGATGTTATTGTCAGCCTTGGAAGACTTAGCAGTAAATGAGGAACATTTAGCTCAAAAATTCAAATCCTGTTTCTATCACTGAATGATTACGCAGAAAACTTTTTTTTGGTTTTGTTTTTTGTTTTTTTGAGTTGTAATCTCACTCTGTTGCCCAGACTGGAGTGCAGTGGCCGCTCCCGGCCACCACAGCCCTCGACCTGCTGGGCTCTGGCAATCCTTCCGCCTCAGCCTTCCAAGTAGCTGGAACTACAGGCACGCGCTACCACACCCGGCTGATTTTTTGATTTATTGTAGAGATGAGGTCTCATCAAGTTGTCCAGGTAGGTCTCGAACCCACGGGCTCAGGCAATCCACTCATTTCAGCCTCCCAAGGCGCGGGATTACAGGCTGAGCCACCGAGCCCAGAAAACTTTTTTTTTTAATTTGTTTTTATTATTTATAGTACTGAGACCTCAGTACCTTGCCCAGGCTGGTCTTGAACTCTTGACCTCAAGCAATACTCCCACCTCAAGCTTCCAAAGTGCTGAGCCATGCGCCTGGCCTAAACAAAGGTTTTGACTTTAGTTAACTGACTTGATTTTCATATCTACAAAGGACCAAGAGACTTAGAATCATAGTGCCCCAACTTAACAGCATGATCCCAAAACCCAGATGAAGCCAGTGGAATCAGGAATCTAATTTTATTAGCTAATTTAATTTTTTATTGTTGTTGAAAATTAAACTTGGAAGATTCTCTTTCTTACTATTCCCATCTCCCTAAAATGCCAGCAACCCTTAAAGAGATGACTAAAGCTTAGAAATATTGCTTTCTAAAAATAGCTCTAAGTTTATAGAGATTTTTTGTTTCTCATATCAGGTATAGAAGTTAAAGTTTGGAGTGTGCAAATTTGAAATGCTTGTCTGGTTGTTAGGCCATATTGTTCCTCACCAGGATATCACAAAAATCATTGTCTTCTTAATGATTACCTTGAGCAAATGCAGTCATCACACGGCATTCTCATGTGCAAAGGCTGTATTTGTCTACATAAATAGTATCCAAGTGTTTTGGCCAAGAATTAAATAGTTGAAATGATTGTCAGCAGGATTGCCATAAAGCCAAAACCAGACCCAGGTGTGGTTTTTGGTTTTTGTGTCTAAGTTTTGTTTTTGGTTTTTTATTTGTAATAACTTCAGATGATGTCCTGGCATTTGGCAAAGTCATTCGCACTATCGTCCATCTGCTGCCCCTCTTGGCTTAGGGATTAGTTCACATTGATCCTCTGGTATTAGCTAAAATATCACAAATACTTTTAGAAACTCCTTCTCCATTTAGCTTCTTGCCTCCAGAGAGCCATCCCTCGCCCCATTCCCTCATTCCCAGCACCAACCAACCCCTTTTATCCTGCTTATCTACTTGGCTTCTTTTCTGCTAAAACTCCCAGCTTCCAGGTATAAACAACAACTCTAGGTCAAAATAGTAAAAAAATGACATTAAAAAAAATTCCAAAGAGCTGTCTCAATTCTGTAGTTGCACTGAAATTAACATCATCATGACCCTTATATGCATCATGCACTTATTCTAGAATTTCATACACTTTATCACATTTGATCCTTCAGATAGTCCTGTGACTACATCCTCATTCAGCAGATGAAGCTACTCTGACTCAGAGAAGCTGGATGCTTTGGCCGTGTCGCATGGATGGAGCTAAAACCCATGTCTCTTGCCTCCAACTTTCCCACTGGCCTGTGGTCCCAATCAGTGATATGTTTTGAAATAGTGGTCATATTTGGGAGCTGGGAAGTAATTTTTCTCAAGAAGTTTTCTGTTGTGGCTGTTGCAGTGCGACATATTTTGAAAGCGATTTCTGTCTGTAATCTAGAACACATGAGATTAGCTTTGTAGTTTGTTCTTACCCATCTGGCATCACTTATATGTACTGATACATTGCCAGTCACCAGAGATAGAATGGGGAGCAAGACAGACTTAATCTCTGCCATTATGGAGTCTAGAGGGCAGAAAACAAATAAATGGACAATTGCAGTATTTTAATAGCTACCTTTATAAGGCACATACAGCATGGATAGGAAGCATGTGACAGGGACATGTAACCCAAACCCAACAGACGGGGGAGGCTCCCAGAAGAAGGGATTTCTGACTTGAGGGCTGAAGGATGAATGAGAGTTTTAGCCAGACAAGAATTATCATGGGTGGCCAGTAAAGAAAGATGGGAAGGCAGTGTGAAGGCCTAGAACTAAGGATGTGATCCTGTTGCCTCCATTCTTGTTTATTAGATCAGATTTCATGATTTAACTATTGGGGAGAATTGGGAAAAGCAGATCAGTGGAGAAAGCTGTCAAATATGCGGAGAAAATACCTGTCTCTTTCTCATGTCTACTTAATAGAAAAAGATTGAGTCTCCACTTGCATCTACCAATCCCTTCCTGGAAGATGAGCCAACACCAGAGATGGAGGAGCTGGCAACAGAGAAAGGAGATTTAGATCACGTAAGTCTGGTTTGCGTTACTACAGGTAATCCATCTAATGTTTGTTTCTGAAAATGGGTCAGCTTGCTCCAGATTTGATCCTTCAGCTGTTGATCAAAGGCTCATTCAGAGATGACAGCTTTGGTGGTCTTTACAGAAGGCCTTTATCTGAAAGTGCATTTAGAAATCTGCGTAAAAGGGCAGCCTTCCCTGCCCCATGTCTCTGCTCACCACGAGGATTTAGCAGCACGTATAGGCTTAATTAGCCCATGCAGTGGGGCCAGCAGAATTCTGCTCTGCCTCATTCATCATCTCTTGAACTTGTCAGCTTAACTTTCAGTTATACTCTCATCTGGAACAGTGATGATGTGAGAGACTGAGTGATCCTGTGAAGCTAGCAGCACCATCAGCTAGGAGAGGCCTCTACACAGTGTAAGCTGATCACTTTGGGTCTGGAAGCCATTGGGAAGGCCTGGAAATATCTAAGTGACCAGTGGCATGTTTGGAGAGTTACTTTTCAGAGCACACCAGCACTTTAATTTCCTTTGGATTTTTCTGTCCAACTTTAAATTTCCTCTCCCTTCATCCTACAGAATGGTGTTTTTGTTTCACTGCCATTTTATGACGAGAAGTTCGAGCAATAAATCAGAACTTTTCCTTTCTGGATTAGTGATTCTTCTTTTTAATTTTCTATACTTGGCTGCTAGAGGATTATTTGATGTATTGTTTTGCTCCAGACACCACCAAAAGGGAGACTGACGGGGAAGACCAGTTTGGGGAAACCCACAGCCTTGTACTTTGCAACTAGCCCCACATCCCCAGCACAGCAAGGTTAGGTGCAGAAGCTAAGAGAACAGAACTCCCAGAAGCAGTTCTGAAGTGGGGTGATAAAATGTGTCTGGTCCACTGATTAAATAATTGTAATAAAATGAATACCTCACTTTTTTTGTTGTTTTTTTTGAGTTGGATTCTCACTCTGTCGCCTAGACTGGAGTGCAGTGGCCGCTCCTGGCCACCGCAGCCTTGACCTGCTGGGCTCCGGTGATCCTTCTGCCTCAACCTTCCAAATAGCTGTAACTACAGGCGCGCGCTACTATGCCCGCCTGATTTTTTGGTTTATTGTAGAGATGAGGTCTCGCCAAGTTGCCCAGGCGGGTCTTGAACCCATGGGCTCAGGCAATCCACTCACCTCAGCCTCCCAGGGCGCGGGATTACAGGCTGAGCCACCGAGCCCGGCTACCTCACATTTTTATAGTGCCTTGTAATTTAAAAGTCTTTAACATGTTCTCTTTTATTTTATCTTCACAATGCCTGCTCCTCACTTTGTAGGTGATGAAACTGCAGCTCAGAGAGGTTAAGCGATTGTCTCATGGTTGCACAGTTTTAGAAGTGGAGGAGCTAAGACTGGAAGTCAGGTCTAAAAGTCAGAAACTAGAGCTCTTTCCCAGTGTGCTTTAGTTGATACCTTCATGTTTCAGTAAAGAGTGGAGGACATAGAAATGAATCTCAGGAATAGAAGTGAATGAAGAGAACTAGTGACTATCTTGAAGTTGTATCCCAGGGACATGTAGGGTTAGATGTCGTTGACTTAAATCCATCATATTCTTGGCTAGTAGGGGAGAGAACAAAGCATTTTTTTCTAACTAAACAAATGCAGTTCTGACATCTTGGGAGCTAGAACTTGGATGGAAAGTGGGGTCTGGATGTAGAGCTCGTTTTTCTGATGTGCCCTCTGTGCACATCGGGTCCCCCGCTGTGAGCATGCTTTGTGTAATAGTGCCGCTATTTGCAGGGCCCTCGTGTCTCCCCAGTGGTAGTGGCTAATGTCATTTTCAAAAGTGAGCAGCTAAACACTCAGCACAGTGATCCCTGTGGCTAGTCATCTCTGAATGTTGCTTAACTAGATTGTGATAGTTAGACTTCATGCCTACAAAATCAGTTCTGCCAGGTAAAATATGATTTTTCTTTCTCTTGGAACTTTTTATTTATCATGGAAGCTTGAAGTTACTGTTGTGAGGACTAAGACCTGCTCATTCTAAGAAGACAGAACACTGATATCTGAAAAATACATGGATAAAACAGTATATGGTGGGGGAAATGCTGAACTCTGGTCTGGCCATTAACTGACCGTGTTACCTTAGATAGATTATTTTTCCCTCTAGACTTCCCTAGTTTCTTTATCTTTAGAAAGGGCTAATGATTTTCAAACTGTATTCCTTGGTGCTCCATTAAATGTCACTGTGGAAGCTGGAGGAGAACCAGGATCTAGGTCCCTGTAATCAGAGCAGTTTTATTTTGAGTCATTTTGTATTATAAACTTTCAGGTAAAATTTCCTTTGAACCAGGGCTTTTATGTCTGTTAAAAACAAAAAAACAAACAAATGAAGTTGTGGTAGATATACACAATGAAATATTATGCAGCCACAAAGAAGGACAAGCATACGGACTTCATAGCAACTTGGATGGATGTAGAGTCTATAATACTCAGTGATCTATCACAGTGACAAAGAACAGAGTACCTACCATATGTTCACTCATAAGTGGACCCTGAACATTTACTAATACTATAAGAAAGGGACTGGCAGTAGCAGGATACCTGCCAGGGTGGGAGTGGGGACACAGCATCAGTAAGGGTACCTGATCTCACACAAGGCAAAGTGGGGACCAAAGGGAGGCCCAAACTTTACCTGTACGATGTCTACTTATATTGTACACAGAATCCTGAATGGTACCTCACATCTTTTAAATAAAATATTTTAAAAATAAATAAATAAAATAAAACCCACAAGTCCATGGGCTGTTTGTTACTCATGAGTGGTAAAGCTTATACACCAGTGATTAACACCTGCTCACATGCCGTTCCTGACCTCTTGCTGCCTGCCTCACTGGCACTTGTCTTGCCTGTGGCTGATTAGGTGGGAGCTCCAGGATCTCCCTCTTCGCAGCAGTCTGTTGACTTCTGGAGCTGGGTACACAGCAAGTACAAGAGCCCTGTGGGAGGGACTCCACCGGTGCTAGTGGTGAAGTCAGCCAGAGGTGGTGGGAGGGAAGACCCCTAGTGGCTCCCTGGGTCACCTAACCCAATGCACTGCTGCAGTCAGTAAGCAGTTGGCCTTCAAGGTAAGGGTCATGCCCTGCTCGCTACTGCATCCTACGCCTGGCTATTGAAAAGGGAGAGTGAACTTGAAAAGAGGTATTTCATTTACAATGGGACCTGAACAATCAGTTACCAAGGGAGTGCCAGTGATAGAAAATGACATCTGAAAGGGAACTGGGGGTACTCAAAGTATAAAAAGAAAGAGAAAGAAAAAATAAGGAATTTCTAGTTTTAAAATGTACCCTTCTGGTGATCCGAGCAGTTAGATTTAATCTGTTTACATTGGATAGTAATAAAAGGAAATGGGACCAGCTGCAGACCTCCTTACTGTGACAGCAGTAACCTTTTATTATTCCATCAAACTCCAGGAGGAAATAGCTTAAACATCTGCAGCTTTTGGACAGAATTCACACACTCAGAAACTGAGCCTGAATGCTACTGCCAAATGATTTAGTATAGTCTTGAAGCTGAGAATCAACCCTTTGGGGAGTGGTTTAATGCAAAGGGAGACACCAGTTTGAGCTGATATTCCATCATCTATGATCTATACACAAGCACATTCATAAAGCAGCCATAGGCAGGAGGCAGCCCTACAGAAAAAAAGTAGAAAAAAGGAAACTTCAGGCAATGCCTTTCATTGTTCCCTCTTGCTTCAGTCACACTTAAAATGCTACAAGAGGACGTGGGTGCTTTGTGACAGGGCCAAGCATTTCTCCTCACTGCAGAAGAGTCTATTAGTGGGCAGAGGCAGGGCAGAGCAGTCACCTGCAGGGAGGGGTGGGATGCTATAGCACTGCCTGATCAGACAGCTTTCTGAGTGTCCTGTGGAGCCCCATCAAGTGCAGGACTTGGGGAAGGTAGACCAGGAGGAGTTTGTTGGAATATCATGTGGCCATTTTCTTTTATAACACTTACAGTCTGTAATTTATACTACCAAAGGAGCCCATCAGACTTATTCAGACATAGATTTTTAAAAATCATATATCACTATTGTGCATATATAAAAAGGAAACTACAATCAATATAAACACATGAAGACATTTCTAAAACCTCTTCACATGCAGGGTCCCCCAAGGGTGACAGCTAACATAACTACAGTGCATCATCGAGACCTGGAAATTGATCCAAACCCCTTTTTCACTCAGGCATGTGTGCCTGTGTTTTCTCACACGGTGTCATCCTCCGAGCTATGCAGGCTGTTGGTGATGTGGCACTTGAGTATTCCATTGCTGTCTCTGGGATTTTCTGCCAGACCACTGGTACCCATTCCCCAAGTTTTTATGTTATTCTTTACTTTAAAAAAAGTTAAACTAAGAGAAAAGTTGTAAGACTATTACAAGGAACTCCCAAACACCTTTCACCTGGATTCAGCAGTTAACATTTTTCTACATTACTTTATCATTTCTTCCCCACTTCCCCACTTCAGAGCAATTTGTAAGTTGGAAACATAATATAATGCCCTTTACCCCTATTTCAGCATGTATTTCTTGAGAAGAAGAACATGCACTTATATTACCACAGATCAAAATCAGAAAGTTTAACATCAGTACAATACTATAATCTATAATCTGTATTGCTTTATTTGCATTTCAGAAGGTAGCCATTTTTAAGTGATGAAATATTGCTAATAGTTGGGAAAGTACATGTTAATTAGCAAGTCAAGGAAGACAAATACAAAATATATATGTTGATTTTTAAAATGACAGCATTCTATGTTATGTAAAATCTTGTTTATAATCACCAGAAGTTGTCTTGCAGAATGTGAATATTTTCCTCAAAGAAAGAACAAAAATTATATATAAAATGATCATTATAATTCTTAGGATTGTTATATTTTAATTAATAAAAAAAATCTAGGTATATAACCATATTTACCAAATCTAAAATAATGATATCTAGTCTTATGAAGTTAGACAAATCATGTTTTTCTATTCATTTCACAAATCACCTTATTGAAAAGAATAAGCTAACAAAAAATAGATACTGACTTGGAAAAGATAGAACAAATGGGTGAGGGCCACCACCCTCATACTCCACCACGGATCCTCCATTTTATTTTATTTTATTTTTTTGAGTTGGCGTCTCACTCTGTCGCCCAGGCTGGAGTGCAGTGGCACACTCACGGCCACCACCGCCTTGACTTGCGGGGCTCAAATGATCCTTCTGCCTCAGCCATTCAAGTAACTAGAACCACAGGTGTGCATCACCACACCCAGCTAATTTTTTATTTATTGTAGAGATGAGGTCTCGCCAAGCTGCCCAGGCTGGTCTCGAACCCGTAGGCTCAGGCAATCCTCTCGCCTTGGACTCCCAAAGTGCTGGGATTACAAGCATGAGCCACTACTCCCGCCGGATCTTCCATTTTAAACTAATGGATGTGCAGAAAAATTCCCAGGGCATCTATGCACTGAGGTGTGGAGCTTTGGATCCAGCAAATTCAAACTCAATGAACTAGTCTTGTGTGGTGCCTGAGGGGCTATTGTATTCTCAGTCTAAGGCCTGACTCTGGTAGTGGCTTCCAGGTAACCAAACAGATAGCCCAGATTGTAGTTATTCTTAGGCATGACCAGAGTTTCTAGAAACCTGCCAAAAAATTACAGACACAGAACTTTTTTTTTTTTTTTTTTTTTTTTTTAGTTGAAGTCTCACTTCATCACCCAAGCTGGAGTGCAGTGGCTCACTCACGGCCACCCCAGCGTCGACCTGCTGGGTTCTGGTGATCCATCTGCCTTAGCCTTCCAAGTAACCAGAACTACAGGCACCCGCTACCACGCCCAGCTAATTTTTTATTTATTTTTGAGACAAGTTCTCGTCAAGTTGCCTGACTGGTCTTAAACCCGCAGGCTCAGGGCCATCCACTCACCTCGGCCTCCCAAAGTGCTGGGATTACAGGCTGAGCCACCGAGCCTGGTCAGACACCGAACTCTTGGAAGATGAAAAGGGAAAAGAGTTAAGTACAGGATTGAGTGGTCTCTGTCTAAAACTGACATTTAGGCTGGGCGTGGGAGTCTCATTCCTATAATCCCAGCACTTTGGGAGGCAGAGACAAGAGGATTGCCTGAGCTCAGGGATTCGAGACCAGCCTGGGCAACTTGGCAAGACCTAGTCTCTACAATAAATCAAAAAAATTAGCCAAGCATGGTGGCACATACCTGTGGTTCTAGCCACGTGGAAGGCTGAGGTGGAAAGGATTGCCTGAGCTCAGCAGGTCAAGGCTGTGGTGGCTGTGAGCATGAAGAGGAAGGGAGGAAGGAGAAGAAGAAGGAGGAGGAGGAGGGAAGGAGAAGAAGAAGGTGGAAGGAGAAAGGAAGGAGAAGGAGCAGGGAGACTTGACTAGGTGACAGATATATTTATGACCTTGATGGTTATGATGGTTTCACAGGTGTATACTTATCCTAAAACTGATCAAGGTGTATACGTTAAATTTGTAGAACTTTTTTTTTTTTTTTTTTTTT